CCACTAGGCTACCTCACCTCACCGCCCCTGGCAACTATATTCGTCACCACTCGCCTCTTTCCGTAACCTCCAAGATGACTCGTCACCCTATCGATGCTTGTTATGTGCGAAAATACGACAAACCAATCAGAACGCGCATAAATGACTGCGGCGCTTTGATAAAAATAATCCCGAAGACTTAAATCGTTTATTGCATTATGTCATTGTTTAAATAAGTGAAAAATATTTATCGTCATATTTAAAGTACAAAGAACTTAGCTAACAGGATTTTGCTGCCTATTATGAAGTTTTTGATAAGAATCATGCGATTGACGGTGAGAGATTCAAATACACGCACGTGCGTTTGTTGACATAATGGCTCTCATGGGTCCAACTGAAGGTATTTCTGACGATCTTGCGGGCTTGCTATGGAGATTGTACGTGTGCTTCCAACAATTATAGGAAATGTAATTATAAATCGCTACGAGTTTCAAAACAATAACATTAGACATATATCTGCATGTAACCAATCAACTTTAATCTTTAACGTTGGGCATATATTTCACTTCTCTGGGAATATTTTAGTCTGACTCATTATTTTGGGTCATTCATATGAATTTCAGCAAATTCATTTAAAATCCCACTTGGGGCATGAGAGCAAGTTTACACGAATGTTCATTTAGAAAAATATTTTAAAGTCTTTTTTGAGTTTCTGCTTTGGGATTTAATGTAGCTTTTATAACTTTTATTTACATATTTATTAAAACAAATCCCATTTGTGATTATCAAACCTATTTAAAAATATAATTGGAAATATAAGGTGAATAATTACGTCAGAATAAGTCTGTTACAAATAAGTTTTTTGCCTTCTTTTAGTTGTATCAAAAAGGTTTAATTCTTTAAAAACATAACCAGCAATACAATGTATGATTACCTCGTTGGAATCAAACAAGAATAGAGTTATCGTTCCTATTTAAAGTAGTTCTGATGTTCCTGCGCCAATATGAAATCCTTCCAGAGGGGCACGAGTCGCGGTTTGTCCCGGAATAACACGGGTTGGTCACCGCCTCTTCAGCAACTATATTTAGCCACTGTGTGCAAGAGCGGTAGAGGAAATAAATTTGGTTAATTTCTGCATACTTGCGCATTATCGTTCAACCAATAATATTTGTCATTCCACAAAAACGTATATATGATCATATTTGACATTGAGGGTTTAACGATGCATTGAATTATCGATTAATCGATTGTGAGCCCCCCGATAGTACTATATCGATAGGTGTATGAAATGACGATCCAATGCATCGATAGTTGTATCAACTATCGATACTATCGCTTTTATTTTTTTTATAAATAACAGTAACTTGAAAACATGTTCTGTCCTACAGTCCTTCCCCCGATTGGGATTAATCTCTATTTGCTGTAAGCAACAGCATTTTGCAGGGATATAAAGGGGATGTAGAGTTACACAATCCCCTCGCGACAGTATTTCTCAGATTCTGCCTTGCCCATGTTGTATGAGACTGTCAAAACTGAGGTCAGGAATGACCTTTCCTGTGCTGAGAATGTTTCACTCGCAACTGCTGGATGGACTAGCAGACTCTTAAATCTGCACATGTGGACAGACTCTTGTTTCTAAAGAAGAATTGGAAAGTTGGAAACCAAGATAAAAAATGAACTATTATCTGCCTTCATCACACTATTTAAGTAAAATCAGAGTTAATGTGAAATACATGTATTGCCATTTGCTACTTATGTTCACCTATCTTTCAACTCGAGTCACCAAGTTATCTGCTGACAGGTTTATTTGTGAGATTCTTGATACTTTCATAGTGACAAAAGATTATTGTCTTCTTTAAATCTGTTGAGTCTGTTGACGGTTCAGTGCTTTGGATATATTTTTTCATCTTCATGTTTTTAAAACTAAAACATATCTACCTGCGAACTGTTTAATTTTCAACCTTTACATGCAGTAAGTGTTTTCTATTGAAACAGAAAGGTGACCATTTGTCAAAAATGTGACAGAGCCACAGAGCCAGTATTTATTCTTTATTTTGTATGTTATTTTACACACAAAGTTGCGGGGATCAAAGAGTCTGCAAACCACAGTTTTGTAATAAATAGTATTAAGTCCTGTGTGAATGTGTTGGCTTGTTGTGGAATGTTTTAATACTAAGTCATGTTCATGAAGAAGTCATCAACTTGACCAATACTGACCTGAAAGTTATAAGGAATAAACAACTGAACACATTTTATAGTTTAAGTACTTTAATGTAGAAGAAGTTGGTAGAAAATGGCAATGTATCTGACATTTGAATTTTTTTCTGGACTATCGCAATAGTTATGGCAATAGTAGCTTGCAATAGACTTCCGAAATCGCAATTGTAGCATGCAATAGTCTATCCATATCGCAATAGTTCCTTAGACCTCAATAGTCACCCCTATGTAACATATCCTTCACAAATTACAAAAAGGAACTGGAAGTTAATTAATATTCGATAAGGACGCCGGGACAGCTGTGCGCAGTATGAAAGTTTCGACTGTGCTATATAAGTCAACTTGAGGCCGTAATTTGACAGACGCCACCCCAACTAGGAAGTGTGAAGCTTTGTGGACATACAGAGTTTACACATATCTCAACTAGCACGGAATCTAACATACACACATTCTGTTATTTTAAACATGATCTCATATTCTTAGATTGAAACAACGTTTGTTTGTTTACACCACTGTCAGCAATATTCCAGCTCTAAATTTCGGTGATTTTCAAATATTTGAATCTGTACCAAACCAAATCCGTGATTAACACCATAAACGTCGATCTACGGAAGTGGGACACGATGACATGTATCAGCCAATCTATCGAGGCAAATCACCCGATCCCGTTAGTTGCCCGTTAAGACAAGTAGGAGTTTCAGAAGATAAATTCTATATCGCATCTTCACGGGTATTCTGGTACGTTGAGGTCACAAGTGAAACAGATGACTACGAGTGGATAATGATCGAAGGCTTTTCCCCGAACTCGAGGCATTACATTTGAAAATCGAAATGAAAGGAATACCAAAAAGATCAATAGTAAAGAAATCGGAATTCTTTCTAATGAAACAACCCAGCTAACACGAAAATGTGATAAAAAATCATCCCCAAAACATTTCCCGAAAAGTTCCGGAAATGTTTAAAACGTTATATTTTTATATGAATTTGTATTGTTCCACAAACGTTTTGGACATTTGGCTATAATGTTTTATTCATGTGAATTTGGATGGTTCCACAAGCGTTTACCATTGTTTTCTCTGATCATTTGGTTCTAACATTTCAATGGTTTTGCAAAATATTCCATGAGACCACGTGTTAGACGTGAGACTGAACGCCCTCTCGTCACCTGCCCCATTGGCTCAGGGGGTTACAATACTAATTTCAACATGGTGTACGAGGCTGCACGTCACGTCACTGAATTTCATGTAAACTTTTTAAAAGTCAAATATTAACATTAGGCACTATCAAAAGTGTTTGTAAGTCTTTGGTGGTAACGCTACTACCTTGACAGGTATACCTGAGGCCCTGGATCTTGACCTTTGAGGTTTCTCAACAGAATGACAAGTAGAACCAGTCAATTAAAACAGTCATTATTTAAAGATGTAACCTATGGAGGTATCCTTATGAACATTACTGACACTGGGTTTGTGTATTGAGGGCCCTAAGTACTGCAACTATACTACTGACAGAATTACAAGATCACCTTTTCCTTATGTTGCCACAGTTAATCTGTCACGACATGACTGAATCGGCTGATCCTTAACGTTTTTTCAGTAGTATATATGGTGTACAAGCTACGTACTTGTGGCCAGGTATGCACGAATATTGCCAGTAGATCAGTAGCTGGAATGATGAACGATGTGACTCCATGTGCGTATGGACGAGTATGATCGACAGAACATGTATTGGTAAGCGTTTAGCAGGGTAATAGTGCGCGCTTCTGTTTGGGAGTTGAACCGCTGTTGTCAGGCAGACAAGCAGCACTTAGTGAAGGCCCTCAAAAAAGTACGGCCTAGATGTATATGGGGTTCTCACGTCTCATATTACAACTGAACATAGATTTACTGGCAAACAAGAATAAGTTGCACCTACACAGAGAACGTGTGTAGGACAAGTAGGCGGTGCACTGCAATGAGCAAACCCATTTGGTTTGTGAAAGGTAGAGCAGATGTAGGCTAGTGGACGTGCAGTGCAAAACGATGAAATTGATTCCGAGGTCGGTGCTCAATTTATCCTTGTTTGTCAGTAGACTGACTGACTGACTGAGTTTGGTTTTACGCCGCTTTTAGCAATGTTCCAGCAACATCACGGCGGGGGACACCAGAAATGTTTGTCAGTAGAAATACCCTCGACATATAATATATCAACCAAAACGTTTTACCAAGGCAACAAACAATGCAACTCCGATCAAACAGTGTTTGAGTCTCACAAAAAGCTCACTGAAGCTCTCCGGAGCATGCTCATTCACCTCAGTAACGCGATGGTCTTATAGAGGGCATGTATACATCAGTTCAACCTGTGGAGATCTGGATGCCCTTCTGCCACCGACGCATGTCATCGTATCCTTGTTGCAAATATCGATGGTCATGATGTCGGTCACTTGACTGTCTTGTCTAGATTCGGTTATTTACCGACCGTCCTCAAAAAGAAATAGAAACAAATAAACACAAAACATCAGTTCAATACGACTTACATTTTGACCCTCATAACTGTACCATCCCAAAATCTTAAAATAACATGAAACGAAGCGTTAATTCTGAAAGCGTCTGATAAATCAAGCTTTGTCGGTTACATTCATAGCACATCTCATTCCTGCGAGCAGGGGGCGGTGGGGTAGCCTAGTGGTTAAAGCGTTGGCTCGTCGCCGAAGACCCCGGGTTCGATTCCCCATATGGGTACAATGTGTGAAACCCATTTATAGTGCCCCCGTTTTGATATTGCTGGAATATTGCTAAAAGCGGCGTAAAACTAAACTCACTTACTCACTCTTGTTGTCATCTCCTTATGTTTCCAGTTCACCATGGCAACGCCTGGTAAAGGTACGACACAGGACAGTGCTGAAGAATACCACTCTCAGATAGCGGTGCTTATGTCCCCTGTCATTGTCACCATGGGGATAATGATGCTGGTTGGCTTCTTTGGCAATATCCTGGTGATCTATATCTACGCTGTCAGGCTGAAGAGAAGCACCACGCACCTGTTCATCACCGCCTTGGCTGTTGCTGACACCGTTGTGTGCATTGTGTGTATCCCAGTAGAAATTGTTGTAGTCCGTTATATGTACTCCTTCGACATCCCATGGCTCTGCAGGGTGTTCCAGACGATTGTCCTTGCCTGTGTGACCACTTCAATATCCGTGCTTATATCCATTGCCGTTGACAGATACAAAAGGGTCTGCACTCCTTTCAAGTCTCAGATTTCTGTCAAAAGGGCGAAAATTGCAGTTGGTATTGGCTGTATTGTTGCTATAACTCTTGCGTCACCCTCGATGGTCATTTTAGGCCGGAAGACGGTCAACAGAACTGTTATCGGCTACGCATGCGCCACAGATGACAGTATGGTCAAGACACCATTCCCAGCGCTCTTTAACGGGATGCAACTTCTCATTGCCGTTATCTCCATATCAACTCTTACTACCCTTTATGCGCTGATTCTGAAGAGAGTCCGAGCACAGAAGAGGTACAGGGAAGGCATGACCCCTAACGGTATCCCTCGCAAGGCCTGCTCAACACAGTCAGGTGAAGCGTCGTCTGTGACGAACACAGTGATTACGTCAACACGCGACAGCACATTGACATCAGCACAAGGTAACCAAGCGACTAGTGACGACACGGCGACATCATCACACGACAACACTGTAACATCAGCACATGAAGGGTCACCGTCGGGTGATGATATGATCACCTCGAACGACGATACGACGACATCGCCAATTAACACAAATGGAAAAAAGATTGCGAAAGCATCTCTGGTCTTAGGAACGGGACACACAAGACCACGTTTATGATGTTCATCATCACGGCCGTGTTTATTCTCAGCTTTGTTCCTCATCTGGCTCTGATGGCGACATGGGCCGTACAGAAACACACGTACGATCACCTGGAGGGGGCGCCACTGGCTCTGTATAACCTTTTCCTGAGAACTTACTTCATCAACTCTGTATCCAATCCAATCATATACGGGTTCATGAGTGACAAATTCCGATCACAGGCAAAGATTGTGTTCAGACGGATGTGTTGTAAGAAGTAATGTAAGTACTGAGAACTGTATTCTTATCAATGCTTGTTGCATAGAGCGACGTTTCGATGTAGATTCTTACACCGTTATCAGGCTAACAGCGACAGCAACCATGGGAAGTATATATACTTGTATTATCATATGCATAATAATTTTGTATTTTTTCATTCACATCTCAAAAATGACTGGGTACAATTGTCAGTATTTGGTCTCATTCTTTACTCCTTTGGCATGGGTCCTAAAACATGAGTGCTTGAATGCCGGGATAATATTCTGTGTAAGTTATGTTCGCATATAATTACTAACCTGCCATGACCAAACAATGGTTGTTGCTTTATATGATCACTTCACAAACGTATCTTACATCGGTGAACAGTTTACACATTTAGTCCAAATGACATAGGCAGCATTCAGTCATAAGAGATAAAGGGGTTTGATAACTTTGTACACAGAACATTTAGGGAGAAATTATCCAAGGACGTATACTACATAACCTTTTCACTGTATACACTTTTGGGACTTTTTTCTTGAACAGAAATTAAATGATATCACAACAATGATCTCTTTGTAACTGAACGCAGGTGTAGCAGTGACGTGGCGAGTTATTACTGTTTCGTGTCATGCCAGTGGGTATTCTTTATTATCATTAAGACCTCTTGTCGCAAGGAGTCTGAAGCATCTGCCTGGAGAGGGGAAGTACCCATAAATGGAATTTTTAACTGTTTACCTGAACAAATAGATGTCGAGAAATATTTGTGTTTGTAAAGTCCCTGAATCAATATGACCAGCATCGTGATCCATAAAATGCTAGAAAGAGAATACTTTGATTAAATGAACTGTTGATCCTGTTACAAGTACATCCTCCATCATGACAACATAGCATGATCAAATTATATGCATTCTTCCTTCCTTGCTTGTATAGATGTACTGTTCCGTGACAATGCTTCAGGAATATGTTATTAAGTATACTTCCCTGATACTCAAGCGTTCTTACTTCATTTAGTTCATTCTGTGCACATGAACGTAAGGGCCGTACAGCCCTTTTTATCCTATTTTGCGAGCGAGTTAATAAGGTTTAAAACATTGCCACCAGGTCGTAAAACTAGTCAAGTCACGGTCATTATTTTCCTCTTCTGTCGCCGTTAGGCAAAGTACGGCGGTCGTCGTTGTCCCGTGTACACGACTGCATGAGAAGTGGTGAACCGTCAATTATATTCTCCAGCAGCATACTCGCATACCTTTATCATGTACATATTTGATATATGTTATCTCATATATGTCTGTTACCTTATTCATGTTTTGAAAATGTTTATGTAACTTAAAGGTTGTCCTCTCTGACCCGTGAAGGTCCGGGTTAGAATGAACCTTCAGTAACCCATGCTTGTCGTTTGGGGCGGCTAACGGCTTGGTTGACACATGTCATCGGTTCCCAATTGCGCAGATCGATGCTGCTGCTGTTGATCACTTGAATGTTTAGTCCAGACTTGAGTTTTGGTCATTTCGCTATGATGTTTTAAAAATGTTTTTGCGAAAAGGTTAGCAAATGTTTTCACGATGTTGTATTCAAAAGAATAACAATTTAGCAATGTTTTATCTGATCTTTTGGTTTTAACATTTCAATGGTTTTGTAAAATATTCCGCAATACAGCCGTGAATGACACACACGAGAAGAAGACCACGTGTTATGACGTGAGATAGAACGCCCCTCGTCGTCACCATACTAATTTCAACGTGATATATTTCAGGCTGCACTTCACGTCATTGAATTTTCATGTAAACTTTAATAAGTCAAATATTAACATTAGGCACGTATCAAAAGTGTTTGTAGGTTTTTAGAGGTAACGCTACTACCTTGAGAGGTATACCTGAGGCTCCGGATCTTGACTACATTTGAGGTTTCTCAACAAAATGACGGTCTTGTAAAACCAGTCAATGTACGTCAAATTAAAACGTCAATGTACGTCAAATCATGAAGTCAGTCACTGGATTGTCTTGTCTAGGTTTTCAAATACCTGGGGAAATAATTCTGAGTGCGGCGTTAAACAACAAATAAATACAAAACATCAGTTCAATACGACTTACATTTTGACATTTTGACTTCCATGATTTTTACCATCGATAACTTTTAAAATAACATGAAATGAAGCGTACACTTTCCCAGTCTAATAAATCAAGTCTTTCTGTTTACATTCATGGCACATCTCATTCCTGCGAGCAGCCCAGTAAACAGAAAGTAGGTAGTTGTTCCTATTTTCACTTCAGCAACTAAATTTAGCTGCTATATGCATGTGCGGTAGGGGAAATATATCTGGTTAATTTCTGCATACTTGCTCATTATCATTCAACCAATATCTGTCACTCCACAAAAGTGTATATATTATTATGATGGGATATTAATATAGCGCACATATCCACGCACTAGTGCATGCTCAAGGCGCTGGTATTTTTTCCCCTCTATCATTGGATGTCAATCTCAATGGCACATCGCATTATCAATCTCAACTCCCTGGGGAGTATACAACTCTTGCAGCCACTAGGCGCACCGAGGTATTGTGGCTTTCTCATCCTAACGAGGTACACTTTCAGAGCTGGGTGGATTGGGACACATAGTCACAGTACTTTATCCATGTTCACTGCACGTTGCTGTACCCACAACTTGGCGTTTGCACGTATTCATGTGGCCACCATCTGGTCAAATACCAACGGATTCGTGGGTTCTTTTAAGTGCACAGGGTTGTGTACTGTACACTAGGGTTTGTGACAACACTGAAAGAGTCTGCACACAAAGTTGACTCCAAGGTTTTTACACCCGGTCACAGGTGGGCTCGATCCCGACACCTCAACCTCGCTGGATCACTAGCCTGGCGCCTTAGCCAGCTTGCCCACCTATATAATCATATTTGACATATCAATCACAAATTACAAAAGGACTTGGAAATTAATTAATGTTCGATAAGGACACCGGAACACCTGTACGCAGTAATTAATTTCGTCAGTGATAGATAAGTTAACTTGAAACAGTAGACCTACAGTACGGTATGATGGCATGGGGACGCTAACCGGAGCGAAAACCCGGCAAATAACGGCTAACAACGTCCGAACTACATGAGAATAGTTCCACTAGTGGTCTTACCACACGTGAGAGCCCCATGTACATCTAAGCCGTACTGTTTGGAAGGCCTTCACCTAATGTTTTGTCTGCCTGACAACCGTGATTCAACTTCCAAAAGAAGCGTGCATTATTACACTACAAACGCTTACACATTTCTTACCAATACAAATTCCTTAATCACAAAAATACTTTAAATCAGAATTCTACAATTCGACAGTTCGGTACGTTGAAGCCACGTATGTGAGTGAGTGAGTAAGTGAGTGAGTGGGTGTATGGGCAATTGTGTGTGTGGGTGAGTGAGTGAGTTTAGAAATGAGAAGTCACAAGAGAAAGAAACAGGTGACTACGCGTGGAGTTCCCTGAACTCGACGTTTTACATTTGAAACTCGAACTATAATTAAGAAAATCGAAATAGTATAAAGATCAATAGTAAAGAAATCGGGATTCTTTGTATGGAGACAATCCAGCTACCACGACAATTTGATAAAAAAACATCCCCGGAACATTTTGCGAAAATTTCTAGAAAGGTTTTTAAAACGTTTTATTCACATGACTTTGTGTGGTTCCAGAAACGTTTCAGAAGCATCTTCTTAAACATTTGGCTATAACGTTTTAAAAATGTTTTTACGGAATGGTTAGCAAAAGTTTTCACATAATGTTTTCTTCACGTGAATTTGTTTGGTTCAAGAAACATTTTAGCAACGTTTTCTCTGAACATTTGGTTTTAACATGTCAATGGTTTTGCACAATATTCCGCAATACAGTCGTAACGGTATATAACGAATGACACACACGAGAGAAAGACCACGCGTTATGACGTGAGATTGAGTGAGTGAGTAACTGATTGGCTCAGTGAGTAACTTTACTAAACTGCACACTTTGAGGCAAACACGAAGCATATTGACAGAAAACTCCGGATCTTGACTACCTTTGAGGTTTCTCAGCAAAATGATTGGTTTATAAAATAACTTGTAATGTCATGAAGGCATTTTGCCGATACCGGTTTGGACTGGTTTTATTTTCCTCCTTCGTAAAACGGAATCTTGCAAAGCGATGTATGTTTGTGAACAGACAGAATTGGGAAACAGTTTTAACTCCAAAATGGGTGAATAAAACATCACATGAAACTGTGTTAACAAGGATTTCGTGTGTGTATTTGTGCAAGTGATTGTTTGTTTGTGTGTGTGTGTGTGAGAGAGAGAGAGAGAGTGTGTGCGTGTGTGTGTGTGTGTGTGTGTGTGTGTGTGTGTGTGTGTGTGTGTGTGTGTGTGTGTGTGTGTGATTGAAGAGCGTGGGCTGTAATTACTACGACCCCACCATCGTCCAATTGATTCAAGATTCTATCTGCTACCTACCTATCTATCTATCATCTATCTATCTGAGAGAGTGGTGTCCGTTTGCTGTTGTACGTGTGTGTGTTTATATTTAGGGTACATACCCCGTTTAAAGCATAATAAAAATTCTACAGCCTTAAAGGGGAAAAAACTCACGTAAACAACATACTTGACCTACAACCTGGTGCAGTCTGTCAAGACTATACAATTGCTGGACCCCGCCCTTTTCGAACAGCAGATTCTGTGCTCGCTTTCATATGCATTTGTATGACACAGTGCTGGTTATCCAACCTGGTCTATATGTAGTTCAACACTCGACATACACTACGGGTATACGAGTTACACAAGCCATTATTCGAATGAATAGCTACAGTGGGAGTGGTGCAAGTGAAGGCCTGTTGAACTTCCTTGTCGAAATGTGCATTTGCCTTGGTGCAGTCTCTGGGTCTAGTTGCTTGTGAACAACGCAGGTGAGTACAGGGAGGTTTGTTAAACTCGCGTCCTCCTTTTTTAATGTATTTGTATAGATGATGGGTAACCGTGATAGTTTCTTTCCATATCATGACGTTTATGCTGCATGAAATCAGGTCGGTATGACATC